TGTCGCTGGGGTCCTGGGGCGGGGTGGGTCGTTTAGGTGTGAGGGCTGACGTGAGGGGGGCGCTGGGACTGTTGGGTTCATTGGAGTCCAGTCTTTGTGACTGGAATCTTTTGTTGAGCTCCTCAGAAGTGCTCTCCTCCAGCCTGACCCTGCGTGACTCCTCGTCCTCCCCCTCCTTACTCCCCTCCAGACTTCCATCTGAGGGTCCGAGCAGACCGAAGCCGGGCCGCTCCGCTCTCTGCATGTCGTCATCGAACACGGAGCTGCTGTCGTCAGAGGCCGTCAGGTAGGTGTCGCTGCCAGGGCGACTGAACCCCAGTCCACACACCCCACCTCCCCCCTCTGCCTCCCCCTCTGACGCTGCACTGGAGAGCACGGAGGAGACGCCGCGCGACTCCTCTCCGCTCGCGATCTCAGCCAGGCTTTCGGACGCGCTGTCGTCATCAACGGTGAGACCAACAAGTCCAGTTTGATCCGGTCTCTGGACGTCACCGTCTGCCTGCTCTGGCGTCGCTGTCGAGGAAAATATGAACGTAGGTGGAATTAATCTCTGGACTAAAGATGTACTGAGAAATACACACGACCCTGGGCTAAAGATCAGCTCTACTGCTGTAGGCCTACACTGCTGGAGAAACTCCCATGACCACCAAATGTGGTGTGTGTAAATTGTGGCTAACCTTTAGCCACTTATATCAACCGTAGCTTTGGTAAAACTTTTAGAATATTGTGGCTGAAATTGAAGAAAACATTTTTTATAATGCAGTGAATACTGTAACTGCTGTACTTGATGACAGCCCTGACCTTTAGGTCACGTGACTCTGCTCTACAGCCGTGTCTCTGTGAAGACTCACCGCTGACGTCACTCTCCTCCTGGGTGCTGAGTGTCCTCTGGGAGGGGGTGGGGCCGGTGAGAACCTGAGGGTTCTTCCCTCTCACCTGGAAACATCCAAAGGTCAGGCTGCTGAGGCGCTGGGCCCCCCCCGGTCTGCTGGGGGCTCCTCGTCCACCGGAACTCCTCTGCTCCAGGGCTGAGGAGGACACACACACACGACGTCTCACTCCCAGCCACAGCACACAGACGGTGTAGCGTGTACAGGCGTGTACAGGCGTGTACTCCTTCTCACCCTGGACCTGGTTCTGCAGCTCCAGAATCTGAGCCTCCTGTTTCTTGTTGTTTTCTCTCAGCGCTGCGTTTTCCACTTCAAACTGAAGTCGACATCAGAACCAGAGATGACGACAGTGAAACAACACGTCACATTTGTGGTAGAAAAGTACACATACTGACATACTGTGTGTAGTACTTCATCTGTACTTCACAGTACTCACCTCCGACAGCTTCAGCATCACCCACTCCTTGATCTTGGCGGCCTTCTCCTCCACGGTCTTCGCATCGACAAGTCGACTTTGTTTCTAGTGAACGAAAAGAAAAACAAATTTGTTCACTTCTTTTCTTCGTGGACCAAGTAGTTAAATAAATATGTCACGACTTAAACATGACTCAAACATGACTCAAACATTTAAAAATAAGTCCAAGGAGCCAAATGAGGGCAGAGGTCAGAGGTCAACTATTTATAAGTCCTACTCTGCGGGTGTTTGTTATAACATTTCTTATAACATCCACGTGTCCCGGTTCTCCATGTTCACCTGCTCCTCCAGCTGCTGCTCCAGTCGACCAATCAGATCGTCCTTCTCCTGCAGCCGGGCCTGCAGCTCCTGACAGCGTTGGAACAGATTGACTTCAGCCTCTGCTGACTGACCTTCTGGAGGGTTCAGCTTCTCCTCCATCCACTGCACCTGCGGTCGTCAAACACACCGTGACCCCTGTGAAGGTGCTACCCACCTGGAGTCCAGCCCAGTCTCCTACCTGTTGGTGAGCAGTGAAAGCTCGTTTCTCAGCGTCGATCACCTGCGTCTCCAGCTGCTGGATCTGGACCAGGAAAAAAAAAAACACGTTATTTTAGAACATTTTTAACTGCAGCACTTCATCCTTCTACGGTCTGGGCCGAGGTCAGGACTCACATTACAGTCACTGGTCATACCATGACACTACACACTCCAGTACAGCAGGTGGCAGCATGCTCCTAAAAAGAATCAGATCCTAGTATTACCCACTCGTTGTCCCAACTGTTTGAATGTGTCTTCACGTAAATACTCCACTTGTCTGTCTCTATTTCAGGCTCCATTCCATGCTGTTGTTTGACCTTTTCCTCTGGGGGGCAGTGAAAAGCCCCTCTGTAATTTGTACATGTACACACGAACATGTACTGGAGCGGAGATACTTCAACCCTGGTGGTTTTTTTACTGCACCTCCACTGAGACTTTCCACTGTAGACACTGGATTGTTCATGACTTCCGTTGAAGTGAGCTGAGGAATGTCAGTGTCAGCCCGACGTCCTCCCTCCTCTGTCCTCCCCCCTCTGTCCTCCCCCCTCTGTCCGAGTGTGTCTGTCAGTGTATTACTGGTGTACCAGTGTTTGTAGTATGTGTGTGACAGTCACACCATGTGACCTCTTGGTGGTGCTGTAGCTTTAACACACCACTCACAGCTTCACTCAGATCATCAGACACAACGAGCTGCTTGTACCTTTACAGTTGACCTTTGACCTCTCCATCATTAGTAAAATGGTTCCTTTCTTTGCAGGAACCCTGGAAAAAACACTGTTGGTGTCTGTGGAACAAGTTCTTCCCACGTTCTGTTTCAACACCTGAATGTCACTCAGCCTGGGTCTAATAGTGGGTCACAACCAACGTTTTTTAGGAGCACGCTGCCACCTACAGTACTGGAGTGTGTAGTGTCACGGTTCAAACATTGTTGTGGCTCGGCTCCACACCAGGGTTCTGGTCCCAGGTTGGCCCGGCTCCAGTTTTCCTGCTCCTGTTCACTCCCAGAGACCAGACCAGGGGCAGTAAACGGATCCAGACCAGAGTCAGAGCAGCCACACCCTGAAGGAGACACTTTCCACTGCACACACACACACACACACACACACACACACTTCTCTGGACCAGGATCACAACAACATGGATGAAGGACGCGTCTGTGTGGAGCAGACACAGACACACACACACACACACTCTAACACCTCCAGGTCTGATCAACAGCAAAGGTAAATATAAAGTCATTCTGAACTCTCTCTCTCTCTCTCTCTCACACACACACACACACACACACAGATTGTCTGCCGCTCCACAAACCACATGTGCGTCTCTCTCTTACAGATATAGCATCTGGCAAAGAAGGACTTTTTAATTACAGGGCATGAATTCATCTGACTAAAGCAGAACACACACACACACACACACACACAGCTGGAAAGCCATGAAAACATGTCTAATGATAAAGGCATTCTCCCCTGCGTCCACATTAGGTTCAAGTCCCCGTTTTCTTCTCCAGGCTCATTTTGATACGTTCGTATTTCTGGGCTAACATTTAACTAACTAGTTAACTAGTCAGTCCTGTCAAGGTCGATGACTGGACTTTAACTGTTTGAACTGAATGTTTTTCATTTTGATACGTTCGTATTTCTGGGTTAACATTTAGCTAACTAGTTAACTAGTCAGTCCTGTCTAGGTCGATGACCGGACTTTAACTGTTTGAACTGAATGTTTTTAAACCAATAACCAACACAGTCACAGTGTTGTCCAGTCAGGTCTCTGACCAGCTGAACACTGGGACCAGAGGTGTCAGGTCACGTGACGTGTTTCACCTGGTCATCCCTGCACTCACATACAACACACACACACACACACACACACACAGAGCTCCATCACCTCTCCAGTCGACTCCTCCGTCTTCAGACCAAACCCCAGTTTAACTTCCATTCCTGAAATTCCACAACTCACACTCTGCGGCCAACCTCCCCCTGAACTCCACTCTCCATCCTCCCCTCCCTCCCCCACCGCTCCATCCACAGCCAGCTCACAAAGACTCTCTCTGTGGCCACGGCACGGAGGTTACCTACAATTACACAGCATTCACACCAAATACTTTCTTCAAATTTAGCTTCGGTCTGGACTTGGTCTCTGGGCTGCCCAGGTCTACTGTGGACCTGGTCTCTGAGCTGCCCAGGTCTACTGTGGTCCAGTCTCTGGGCTGCCCAGGTCTACTGTGGTCCAGTCTCTGGGCTGCCCAGGTCTACTGTGGACCTGGTCTCTGAGCTGCCCAGGTCTACTGTGGTCCGGTCTCTGGGCTGCCCAGGTCTACTGTGGTCCAGTCTCTGGGCTGCCCAGGTCTACTGTGGTCCGGTCTCTCACAGGTACATCAGTGATGATGAAGACGTAGAGGAGATTAAGTGAAAATCTTCTGACTCTTGACTGTTGTGTCTGAACTGACGCTGTAATACAGTAATCCTCAGTAACACCCACCTCCTGTGACCTCTGACCTTCTTTAATACTGTACAGACTGAAGGTGAAGCTATTCAGGGAAGAGACCAGAAATATGGGCTGTGTATTGACAGGAATCTGTCGATACGTATCACGATACAGGGACAACGATACCATATATTGCGGTACTGTAGACACGGCAATATTTTTATTTTTTTTTCCACCAGTGTAACTGTAGTCCAAGTGTGATCCTAGTCTCAGACTCTGCTGCTGTTCCATCTGAACATCAGGTTACTGACACTGGAACAGAGGGATCTACATTTTTCTTGGTCTAAAAAGATCAGTTCTAGCAGTTGTGGCTGTAGCTGTGATAGGTTCGTGCCCCCAGTGTGTGCCTCAGTGTGGGTGTGGGTTTAAATAGTAACACGATGAGATCACAGCATCGCATCAGCAGGTCAGGGGTCAGAGGTCACCGGACAACAGTGGTCAGTTCAGGCCTTTCTGTCCAGGAGTCTGTAGAACTGTTTGAACTGAACCGTTGTTTTAATGTCTGTATCCCGGTCCGTGTCCCAGTCTGTGTCCCAGTCTGTGTCCCAGTCTGTGTCCCGGTCTCTGTCCCGGTCTCTGTCCCAGTCTCTGTCCAAGTCTGTGTCCAGCCCAGTTCACTGTGACTCTGTAATTGTTGGAGCTGGGTCAATCCCATCATGCAGTGCGCTGCGGTCAGACCTCTGTTTACATTAGAGCTCTTATCAGCATCCCTGGAGAACTGCCTCAGATCTAGGCCACTCAAGAGTTTGGGTCGGTCCAGTGGTGACCAGTGGGAGGGGGGAGAGTCTGCTCCGTCCTCAGTGGACACATCACAGCTTTCTGAGTGACTTTGTAGAGGACTGGTGAGGACATGAGGAGAAAATGATCTACTGGACAGAACGTCACAGAAAGAGAACCTGGGGGGGGACCAGCAGTTATAGAGCTCGGGGACCGAACAGTGACCTCCCTATTGTAAGGCAAACCACATATATATATATGTTCATATATATATATACTGTATATAATTTGGACAAGTTTGGTGGGCCAGAATAAAAGTCCAAAGGGGCCGCATCCGGCCCTCGGGCCATAGTTTGCCCATGCCCGACCTACCACCTTGTGTCGGGTCTGTTCCTGTGTTACATTAACGTGTTACTTTGACCCAGTCGGAGACGATGATGTCATCATGATGGTGATGTCACTCTGGTTAAATATCGAAGGACAACTTTGTGTGAATTTATGGTCAAAGACAGAGAGTTGGACTTGAACTAACTTTGTCTGCCGTCAGCTCCCGTATCTTGATGATCTGCATCCTGAACTTCATGAGCAGAGCCTCCAGGACCATGCACTTCTCCTTCCAGTCCTCCTGGCTCATGGTGTCCTCCCCATCTGCCATCCTGGCTGGGCTCCTGTAACAGACAGGAGCAGTGGATGAGCAGGACAGAAGGAGAAATGAACTGAATAACTGAACACACACACACACACACACAGACAGAGTGGTTGTACAGAATACACAGCCACCATTCCTGGACTGGGTTGGAGCAGTGTGGGCAGAGGGTGTATCACTTCTGCCTGACCAAACAGAAAAACACCTCACTGCCCCCGGGGGCCAGATCTGCATCATGTTTTCCAGAGAAAATAAAACAGGCAGACAGAGAGGNGGGCAAAGAAAGACGCAGATCTCAGAAGGGAGAGAAAAGAGGACACAAAGACAGTTTCTCCTCCGTGTAATAACCACTCAGAACTAAAATAGTCCCCGCACAGAGAGAGAGAGAGAGTGAGGGAGAGAGAGAGATTCGTCACAATGAAGACAATGAGTGTTAACACATTAGTTAAAGATTAGTTATTATTAGAGTGTTAACTAACCTGGAAAGACTTCACATTTCCTTCAAATACATGAAAAGTTCTTGTTTGATGGAGTCGTATTTACTGACGTTTATTTACTGACATTTATTTACTGACGTTTGTTTACTGACGTTCATTTACTGACGTTTATTTACTGACATTTATTTACTGACGTTCATTTACTGATGAGTCAGAACACAGAGATGATGACTCAGCAGTAATCAACAAACATGTCCGTCCTTATCTGGACTACAGTCTGTTTTATTTTTAATTAACATCATGGTGAGTGAGACAGTGATGAAGACTGACATGGCAGTCAACAGACCACCACCTGCTGTGAATGGACTTCAACTGTGACTTCATGGTCTGTAGACCGTCGGCTTCTCACAGAGGAATGAACGATGATAAGAAATTTAAAAAAAACTGGACTTCTTTAACTACTTCTTTAAAGACCTCCCCCTTTAACTCTGTCAAAAAGCCTAAATGTTTTCAACTGTTCCATCCTCTGGAGTCACCCCCCAGGGGTAGTTTGTGACTCCTCAAGGTTTTTACACCAAACACCTTCTCTGACGTAACCCTGTCTGGAGTGGAATTGAACCCAGGACCTTCTCTATTTGCAGGCCTAAATCTGTCCACTACACCACTGTACCTCCAGTCTAAAGTCTGTGAGCTTAAATTCACCTTTTTGGTTCAGATAATGAGGCGTTGACTTCTGGACAAGATCAGCTTAAAAACCTCAGTAACTTCAGAACTTTCTGGAATCATCCAACCATGAGTTTGTGAAAGAACCAACAGAACAGAACTTGGAACAAGTTCTTCAACATGTCCGCAGACTTTTCCTGTGAACTACACTCAAAAGTTGTTTAAAAAACCTTAAAATACTGCACATGTCGATGTTGACAGAGAAACAACTGGACTTTTTTACTGTTTTTTTGTTGTTTCTACTTTCATGTACTTGGCGCCATGACTGTGACTGACACATATGAACACACGGTGTTCCTGACACCACCGTGATAGCAGTGTGAAATCGTCGTTACTAAATGACCAATGAGAATAATGGTCACATTATATATTTAATTTGAAGTTGTTGTTGTTTTTTTTCACGCTATAGGCTTAATTTTTAACGACGAGACAAAGTATTGATATAAATAAAAACTACAGCCTCAAATATACACCGTAGATTTCTAAATTCAACCGTGGTAACAAAGTAAAAACTACATCCTCAAACATAGACCGTAGATTTCTAAATTCAACCGTGGTAGTGTTGTTGTGGTTTTACACTTTATAGCTCGAAAGTACCTCTATTAAACTGAGACCATGAGTCTCGAACACAGCTCTACTTCATCGTTGCCTACAAAAACCTCATCAAAGTTTTTGTACTTACCGTTATTAATGATGGCGTAAACTGTAAAGCAGACTTCAGTCGTTGGTCATTTTGTTGTTTCTGTATTTCTTATTTTATCCCGGAGGCAGAATTACTGAATGAAAAAAACGGTAAATTGTCCTTTCTTCCAAAAGATTTCATTCCATCTCCAATGCCAGAGTGGGGAACGGGTGGGAGTTAGAGGGCGGGGTCTCTAAATTTCTATCCAATCATAAGCCGGGTAGGATTCTCCGTCTGGAGGCGTCAGGCAATGATTGACGTGTATATTTCACCAATAGAAATCAGGAGCGCTGTTTTATTGACGGAACAGTTTTTGTGGGCGGGCTCCGGTGTTTATTCGGAAGTGACGTTGTGTTTGCGGCACGGAAGTCAAACTTCCTATAAGACTGCAGGAAATTCAAAAGTACGCCTTCGCAATCATGGCCCGAAAATGATTTTTAAAGATGTTAACTATTTTTTATAGCATAATAGTCGGAAAATATGTATACATTTCTCATGTAATTAAACGAAAATTGTGTATGTGATGGAGACATAGTATGTGGATGATAATGTAGGTTTTCTTTTTCAATACGTGTTTTCTTTTGAAAAACATTTACATCAGAAATTGTGTCTCCCTTCGACTTTGACGGTTCTTTTTGAACCGAATCAAGGCTCCACTTGAACCACATGCTGCAGTGAGGTAAACATAAAACCTAAAAAGACTTTCACTGTCCTAAAATGTATCTGCGAGGATTTGATTTTGTTAACGTTTGATTGTCAATGTTGTTTTCTCTAACTTGTTTGGTTTATATAGCCACTGCTAAAGAGACAGTATTACTTAGCTAGCAAAACTAGCGCCCGGTTTTACAGTAAGGTCGGTTTAAATGAATGAACACAGCTTAGAAAGAAAGTGCTGACATTCTTATCTGTTCGTGTTAGTTAGTGAGTGGACTAATGAGTAAGTTAGTGAGTTTGTCAGTGAGAAAACAACAGTGGGAGCAAATGAAAGAATGTTCTTTTACAGAGTAACTAACTAGCAGTGAGTGTATGGCTGCCACATACTCTGAGTAGAGTAATGACACTTGTTTGTAACGGGACTGGAACCTTTACATTTGTACCCCTGCTGTACAACACAGGTCGGAGTCATGGTGGTGAAGAAGAAAACACCCAAAGTGGAGGCTCTGGTTTTGGATGAGCAGAATCTGCAAACACTGATAGGTAATCTGGTCAAGGGAAACCTAGTAACCAGGACTAGTCACTTATTAAGAAAGAACAGTAAAAAGAACTGTTGAAGCTGTAGGTTTTGCTCCTTTTTTCTATTTAATTATAATTGCCATGTTTTTTTAGCATCTCTCTCTGTGACTGATGGAGAGGATGGTGTCAGACAGGTGGCCCACACCTTGCAGTCGTGTCTGGAGCTGACGGAGCCGGTGCAGCAGATCCAGTTGGTTAAAAAGGTAAAAAAAAAAATTTTAATGGTTATATTGGAGAATGTCTGGATGCTGTTAGACTTTTCACCATAGTTGGAGTCTGAAAATGTCTTTTACGTCATGTGAAAGTTGACTTGATGATTATAGAGCGTATGAAAACAGGTGTTTGTTCACGTCACATCAGGCAGGGTCCCAGCTGGAGGCTCTGAGTGAACGACAGACCGACAGTGATCTTCTTAAAGCCTGTCTACACACCATGACCCTGGTCTATACGTCTCTGCTGTCGAAGAACCCACTGCGGCGAGCCGTAGCCAGGTAAATGTTCGTTTTTAGTGTCAGTGTCAGTGTTCACACCTTTTCAGTCAGTAATCAACCTTCTCTCCTTCTCTCCCTGTTCGGCCTCAGTGCTCTAGGCTCAGTACCTGCCTGGTTACAGGAACAGGCCGTGGACTGTTTATGTTCAAATATGTCTGAATGTATTTCCAGCGTGGACTCAGACAAATACATGCAGACTGTAGACACCATCGCTGCCTGTATGGATGGCTTCCCTCTTGGTGAGCTAATACGATCAATTTTCTGCTTTATGTCAATGGGATATTAGATAAGTCATAACTCTTGTTATATTCTTTTAAAAAAATCACATTTTAAAATGCTTTACCTCTAGGTGAAAGGTGTATTCACAAGCTGCTGCCTGAAGGTTAGTGTTTGCTGTTCTCTAAAGTTTTTATAGTTTGAGAAGTTACTGTTGTCAAAACACGGTCTGATTTTCTCCGTTTGTGCTGCAGTGCTGCAGTTCCTCCACAAAGGACTGAGTGAATGCCTTCATCTGAACAGGTACACACATCACGCTGTGATTCACAAGTCAACAATATCTGAGTTAAAGTGTCGTTGTGCAGCGATCCTCTGTCGCCCCCTGCTGTTCTCACAGAGGCCTCACCGGTCGTCACATTGCCCAGGCTGAGTTAATGCACTCGTGTTTGACTGCAGTGAAGACCTCCATGTTGGTGGTGCAAAGATCCCAGGAGACCATCAGTGCCGCCCTGCAGGCCGAACAGAGTCAGTGCAACATGGAGCAGACCCTGAGCAGCCTCGTGAGCTGTTACATACAAATCCTCACTGATGGTGAGGAACACGTGACCTGAACATATACTACATGCCAACGCAGTAACGCTGTATTCATATGACATGCTAATGTCCTCCTCTTCTCCTCCTTCTGTCTGTAGAGGAGTTCATCCAGTCGGTCCAGAGCACAGCTGGTATGGCTGTAGTCCTGTTGATCCGGTCTGTTATGGGCTCAGGGAACCAGGTTGCTTCAGTGGTGAGGAACTGTCAAATTATTCTCTGATGATAAAAACAACATCAACTTCTCTTATTAAATAGTTCCTGCTCCTCTGTTATGTTTTTTTTTTTGTGTCAGGTTTGCAGTTTGCTGCAGAGCTCAGTCCAGAGTTTGGACCCCGCCCCACAGTGGATCAGAGAGCAATGTGTCAGTCTTTGTGCTGATGATCGCCCCCTGGCTGTCTCTCTGTATCTGTGTCATGGAGCTCTGGCCATGCTGAGTTGGAAGAGTGCTCTGCCTGGACCAGAGTGGGAGCGACTGCTGCTGTTGATCCCAAAGGTTCTACTGGACCTGGATGTCAGGTCAGGTTCTGTTATCTGTTTGGCTCTTTTTCACTGAGTGGTCGTAATTATTTCAAACCTTCTGCTGCAGTGTGAAGGAGTCCAGTACAGCCTTGGTGTTGGCCCGAGTTCTGACCCTGTGGAGCGGTGCTGCTCTGGATTGTCTGCACGGGGAGATGCCGCCCGGTCCTCCTCACCTCCAGCAGGCGTTCAGAGGAGGCTCTGAGCTGCAGCAGCAGCTCCTGGAGCACGTCTACTCCCACTGGGAGCATCCGCTGGACGCAGTGCGTCACCAGACCTGCTCCCTGTTCCACAACCTCCTCCTCCTCCATCAGCACACCCAGCCGTCCATTTCTGACCCAACCAAAGATTCCTACATCACAGAGCTCACACAAAGCCTGCTGGGACTGGAATGGCACATGAGGGGGAAGTACGGCTCCCTGGGCTGCCTGGTGGATTTGTATGGAGCAGGATATCTGCTCCACCTCCAGCCTCAGCTCCCGTCACGTCTTCTCACCCTGATGGGTGACCAGTCTTTGGCTCCGTATGCTGCCAACCTGCTGGAGAAGCTGTTTGTGAGTCACAAAGTCCAGCTGGCCACTGACTGTGCAGCAGCAGGAACCACAGACGCCTGGATGGAGCTGTGGCACCGGACGTGGGTCACACCGCTGCTGCAGGTGCTGTGCAGCTCCAGACTGGATCAAACCACCTACATCCTGGACTACTTTCTACCTAAACTGCTCCGCTGCAGCCCGTCCAGTCTGGCCCACATGGTCCAGGCTTTACAGCAGACTCCTCCTAGTGGCAGAGGCAAGAACTCCAAGCTGTTGTCGTCTTTGTTTTTATAAAGAATTCTTCGGTTTATACAGTTCATCTTTTCTCAGGTTCATCAGGCAGCAGGGGTCCACTGGGGGCCCTGATGACGTGCCTGCGGGCAGCCAGGGCCCAGGGTGCCGTTCCGTCCTCTGACCTGGGTCTGTGGGGGGGCCTGGTGCCCCTCTCCCTCCTCCAACAGGCACTTTTACACAAACACGATCAGGTGAGTTTACGTTTGTCCTCAGGTTTGAATGTTCATGGTTCGACCGCTGCGTCAGTGCTGGATCTTCTCTCTTCTCCTCAGGTGAGAATGGACGCCTTGGGTTTGGTTTGTGAGAGCCATCGGAGCACGGAGGTTCTGACTCCACAGGAAATGGACCTGATTCGTCATTTCCTCATTCCAAACCTCAACAGCCAATCGCCAGGTGTCAGACAGCAGACGGTCAGCCTGCTGAAAAAGGTCAGAGGTCAACAGCCAAAAGCAGATTTTATAGTTCACAGGAAGTAGTTTGGTTGACAGTAACCTTTGAAATGGCAAATTCAACTCCCACCTCTAGAGGGTGTTAGAGGTGTAAGAAAAATATCAATACACTGAAATATCATGATATTTGGTTTCCTGATATCGTATCAATATCCTCCTCCATCAGTTATTGATTTTGTTTCTCACCAATTCCCAGTCCAATATTCCTGGTGTTGGTTCATTTTCTTTTTCTTTTCTTTCTTCTCTAGTGATTCCAAATGTAGATCCCTCTGTTCCAGTGTTAGGAACTGATGTTCAGATGGAACAGAGTCTTTACTGTGATGACAGTTTGACTTGTTAGTTACAGTATAATGAACGTCTGATAGACTGATGTTTTCACTGGAGTAACTCCACAGTGTGACGCTGAACCGTCCACTCCTCTGACCCACAGCTGCTGAGCAGGATGAAGGACAGTTCTCAGACACTGCAGAAGAGACTGAGTCAGGTGAAAGTTCCGGAGCAGAGGGACAGAGACCAGCAGTCTCTGCTGCAGTACAAGGTAAAGAAACATTCCTTCTAGAGTACCTTTGGAACTGTTGTCTCTAAATAAAGTTCCTGTCCTCGGTGTCTGTGTGTGTGTGATGCAGGACTTCCTGCACTGGCTGTGTGTGAGTCTGCTGGAGGTTCTTCTTCCTGGGGCGTCCTTCTCCAAATGTCTCATGTCTCTGCACCTGCTCTGCCTCCTGGGACACTTCTTCACCTTCAGCACAGGTGCTGTTTATTCACTGTGTTCTCTTGACAAAATAACACTAACTAGTCCAGATACTAACTAGTATATAGTACCATGTACTCCAGCTGACCACACAGAAGAAGTATTCTTTGGTTCCTACAGTCTTCCTCCTACTCCACTTCATCGGTACCTCTCTACACACAGGCTTCCTCCTACTCTACTTCATCGGTACCTCTCTACACACAGGGCCTGATGTCTTTTCCGTGGGTGAGGTCGTGACCCCTGCACATGCTGAGAATGTCCTCTACTGTGTAGGCAGCAACTTCCTGGAGGTCAAACAGTTGGCAACCACACTGCTGCAGCAGCTCCCTCCATCAGCTGTGAAGCTGCAGGTGAAAATCCTAATCTGTCAAATCATCATCTGAATATGAAAGTGTTTTTTTTTCACTTCCTGTCTTGACTTTGTTTGTGGTGTTAGGAGGCAGAGAGGATGTGCCGTGTCCTCCAGGCTGCTCTGGACCTCAGCACCAGCACCAAACCTTATGACAGCGTCACAGCTGCTCCCCTGCGGACCCTGCTGCTGCAGCAGCCTCACCTGAGCCGGGCTCTGCTGCACTGCGCCCAGCAGCAAGGCATCGATTTCCAGCCTTCCGCAGAAGCTGCGGCTCCTGAGGAGCTCGTCAGAGAACTGAACGCTCTGGCTGGTCAGAAATGTTTAATAATGGATGTCCTACATCGGCTCAGCTGCACCAGTGTAACCGTGTGATTGATTTCTGTCTGCAGTGATTGGTTTCCTGCTGCGTTGTCTGCAGTCAGAGGCGATGAAAGCTGAGTCGTCCCTTCTACAGGCCGCCGCCTCCTTCCCTCTGTACGGCAGAGCTCACTGCATCACAGCTGTCCTGCAGCAGCTCAACACTGAGTGAGACCCCTCCCTGCCCACCCCCTGCCCCTCACTGCTGACCAGCTCTGTGTTGTGCAGACTTGAACCCTTTTCTGATGTGTGTCCAGGAGCCTGACTCAGACGGTGCAGTGGAGGAGGCTGGTGTCAGAACTCATCTCTGTGTGCTACAGGATGTCTGACGTGGTTTCTCCTGTGGTCCAGAGTTCTTCCCCAGAAGGTCTCATCCCCATGGACACTGACGCAGGTATTCTGTCACATGTGGCTGCCGCACGGTGGAGAAGTGGTTAACCTGCTGGCAGTACAGCAGAGAGATGACTGCTGTTGTTTACACGTTCCCCTCTGTGTGTTTATGGGGTTTTTTTTCTTGGGCAGTTTTTTGAGTCCAAAAAGATGGAAAAGTCGGACTGAGATTATTAAGAATCATCATCAGTCACATTCATAGAAAGTCCTCCAGGTCGGCATGGACCGGAGGTCTTGAAGACGTTTCTCCTCCTTTTGAGGGAGAGCTCAAAGATGAAAGCAGATAACTGAGGTCAAAGGTCAAAGTCAGCTCCCTCTGTTCTTCTCATGACGGTCCCTTTGACTCTGTCTCTGTGGACAGAGACGTCGTCAGGTCTGCAGCAGATCCTGCAGGAGATCCAGCCCAGAGACACAAACGACTTCTTCACTGATGCCAGAGAGCTGGAGGACGACGACGACCAGCGGCAGAAAACACACACGGCGTCACTGGACACAGGTGAGTTTTTTTTTTTTTAACCAATTCATCACTCTTTAATATTCAGATGTGGTTGTTTGGTGAAGTGACCTGTTTGTTATCTGTAGTCAATGTCCTTCATGTCATTGTCGACCCTGGAGCCTTAGACCACAGTGTGTGCTGTGCAGTACCGCTGGGCTCCTGCTGAGGGCAGTATTAGGCCTCTTTTTGTGATGGTATTTACTCTGTAATGTCAGTGACTGAGCCTGAAGTCCTGACAAATAATCTGTGATGTGAAGAAACACTGGTTGTCACCAGGTCTGAGGAGTGTGTGTGTGTGTGCGTGTGCTGGTGGCAGGTGGTGAGGGCTACAGAGTGACCGCCCAGATGGTTCTGGTCTGCTGCTGGCGGAGCATGAAGGAAGTGTCCATGCTGCTGGGGCAGCTGTGTCAGAGTCTGCCCCTGGTCTGCAGCACCGAGGAGGAGACCAGACGTCCTGGACTCATCAGTGAGGAGCAGGTGAGGAGAAGGACGCTCCACACCATTCATTCATTTGGTTTCATTTATACCAAAAAGAAACAGTTCAACCATCAGTGCCACATATTGATGAACTATGGCCTGTGGCCTGGAAACAGTCCGCTCGTTTTTTTTAGTCTGGCCCAAACAACTGGCAAAACTGGCATCCATTTTGATTTTATAGCGCTTTACCGACCTTCCCAGTTGAACCACTAGGTGACACACTTCATGGAACAATTTTACATTTCTTTTCTTCACCTTTGACCCTGGCTCAAACCCTTCTGTAATCATCAGTGGAACATGGAGTACATAGAACTGTACAACATAGATCCGCATCGGCTGCATCAGGAATGATGTGGAACGTTTAGAACTCAAATCTGAAATGTTCCACGTTCTGTTTTTTTTTTTTTTTTTTTTTTTCTAAGAACATCTGTCCACTGCTTTGAAGTCTGTCTGGGAACCAGAATGGTGACAAGGTTAACCCAGTGACAACAGCCGAGGTGTGGGGGGGCGTGCTCCGGGAACACACACACACACAGACACACACACATTCACACTACAGCACTAACACGTGTGTAGTGTAAAGTGTTTGCACGGTTTACTGAGATTGGGAGCGAGTGTGTGTGTGCGTGCCTGCGTGTGTGCGTGTGTGCACACACAGATGCAAGCTGGGAGGCTCTTCAATTAGCATCCGCCCTTGTTAGCGCCACGCTTTCATTTGAGGCCTGATCCTGCTGGTTTAACGGCCACAAGGCCACGCCCTTTTCCACTGCATTCTTTCCAAATCACTTCCACCACCAGCAGGAAAACAACGCACACACACACACACACACAGATGCACGTAGAAAGTCTCACAGAAATAGTTGTCTGAGTGTTTCAGCATGTCCGTAAAAATAAAGTTACCAGACACAGTGCTGTGTTTGTCTGTGCAGGGGGCAGAGGGTGTGTTGTTGTTGTTAGGGTAGGTATGTGTGTGTACGTGTTATTCATACACTTTCTTTGTTAGCTGAGTAGGAAGGATTCATGCACTTTCTTTGTTAGCTGAGTAGGAAGGTAGGACGTTGGTGCTGAAGACGTGCGTTCGTCTTTGTTTGCTCGCCGCCCGGCTCTTTGTTGTCACCCCTGCAGTGAAGGATTAAAATAAATGAACTCATCAGATCCAACCGTCACTTCCCTCCTGGCTAAGAGAGAAACTGTCGCTTCTGATGTTTCAGACCTTGAGCTACTCTTGAGTTTACATTCAGCTAAACAGGTTTGAGAAAATGTAACAGTCACTAAACGGTTCCAGTACCGTTGGCCTCAGGCGCCGTCCTGTTCCTACCCATCGACTTTTCTGAACGAGGCACGTGGGACGCAACCCTGGTGGTCAACTAGAGAACTAGCAGTGTGGTGTCTGATGATAAGGTCAAACTCTGCTGCTGCTGTGGACATGTTGATGGGATGGTGGCGATCACATCGTCTTCATGTTGTCATTTGATGACCTCTGTGACCTGTGGCCTTGTCATGACATCTTAACTCTCCTCTTTCTTCATTTATTTAATTGTGTTTGAATAACTTTTTTTTTTCGAGAGTGGAAATGACGGAAAGAAAAAGTTGGCTGGAAAACCAATGCCTGTCACTAGGTGGCGCTATGCTGATAAGTATAGAAATTGTTGTTGATAAACTGTATGATATCTAAAATACTTACAAACGCCCAACACTTAGAGTTTGGAGTTTGGTTTGTACATTTGTGTGTTGGCAGAAGTCTGTCGATACGTATTGCAATACAGGGGCAACGATACAATATATTGCGATATACTGTGATACTGTAGGCGTGATGAGGTGTTCAGACCAGTCTATGTGTTGGTCTATATCTGCAGTACTTGGAGAAACGTTCTAATGCGTTCACACTTGAATAGATGTGGTGTGAATGACCAGCGCCCAGCGGTCAGTGTCCAGCCACCAGAGTGGAAGAAACCAGTCAGATGTTTGTTTGGTTGCTGCAGCAGTCAGACTGTGAGGCAGACCTG